CGTACGTCTGACAGAGATAGAAGCAATCGACGTTCGAGTGGCGGCCCATCGAAAAGTATTCTCTCACAGCATCTTGCTTATCGCACGCAACGTCGTCGAAGACGAAGATCGAATTGGGACGTGCCTCGCTCGGTGGAATGACGTCACTGTTGTTGGAGAACGTAAAGTAGCCGATTTCTTCTATCGATGTTAGTAAATTTTCCAAGTATCGATATTTCGGTTGTTGCAGTGATTTCGAGTATACGTACACGTTCTCGAAACGTACACCGTGCGGACTCTCGAGCAAGCTTATGAGAACGTTGGTTTTACCACAATTCGACGGCCCGCAAATGATGGCGCGTATAGTACTCGGTAACATTTCACCGTGCTTGCGCTCCGTCGCGATGTCTCCCATAATTCGCGCTCTCTCGTCACAGTTCGTGACGCGTATCGTCAGCGGCTGCCGTACAAATTTCATGTTCGCACTGCGTTATCTAGGCTTCGATCGAACGCCTATTTATAGGCGCGCGAAACCACGAATCGCTCAGTGGCAAAAATGTATGTCTCGCGCTGTCGCATCCCTCCGATATTCGGGATTTGAGCGCTGAGCAGTTGCAATATATATCGAAGGTCGTACTGTTACGCGTGTGCGGTAATTATATCGATCACGTATGGGATAAGTTTCCGGAGTATATAAAGGAGGATTTGGAGGTTCAAACCTATCGTCGCTGCGTCGAGCATTATAATCAATCGAGGGATCGAGATCATATAGACGGTCCTGCACCGAAGATAAAGGATTGTGGCCTATGCCAGCAGCAGCGTCAAACGAAGGCTACATTGGAGGTCTGCTCAATCGAGCGATAAACGCGCTTCCTTTCGAACTACATATCCCGGGCTATCAGTTTTGCGGTCCGGGTACTCGGCTGAAAAAGCGATTAGCCAGAGGTGAAACGGGCATAAATCCACTGGACGCGGCGTGCCGTGAACACGACATTGCGTATTCTCAGAGCAACGATCTCACCGACAGACACGCGGCGGACAAGGTACTCGCCGATAAAGCCTTAGGACGCGTCATCGCGAGAGATTCGGCTCTGAGCGAGAAAGCTGCAGTTGCAGCCGTTTGGGCAGCGATGAAAGCCAAGACCAAGATCGGCATGGGTATGAAGGTGAAGAAAAAAACCGGCAAAAAAAAGAAACGAATACTTCCAACGGCGAAACGAGGTAGTGTGTTACCGATTTTGCCAATTTTTGGCGCTCTCGGGTCCTTAATCGGCGGAGCGGCCAGCGTGGCGAAAGCGATAAACGACAGGAAAGTCGCGCAACGTCCACTCGAGGAACTACAACGTCGCGCGATGGAAACGCGCGGACAGGGACTGTATCTCGCTCCGTACAAATACGGACGAGGACTGTATCTCGCCCCGTACAAAGGCGGACGAGGCGTAACAGCGAAAAAAAGAAAAAAGAAAAAAACGCCAAAGAGACGATAAAAATACCTACGGGTGTAACCACCAATGTACCAATGTACAATTGGACCAGCTGGCGAAGCGTATGCGCGTACCGTACTTTAGAGATGTTTTCATGCGTGACGCATTACCGATTAACGGCGCGCGTCGAAATGAAAATGGTATCGTAAATCTGGACGACACGACGGGCCCCGATACTCATTGGGTAGCGTACGCAAAGAGAAACAATCGCGTTGTGTACTTTGACAGTTTTGGTAATCTTCGATCGCCCAAGGAACTGATACGATATTTCGGAGATGATGCTACGATAGAGTATAATCGAACGTCCTATCAGACGTACGATCAGAGCGTCTGCGGACAGCTGTGCTTGTGATTTCTTCTCCAAAACGGTCGACGCGCGTGAATTTATAAAGACCGACAAAATGTCGCGGCGTCTCAGTATTCGTCGAACGCTTTTTCCATCATGTCGCTGACGCTTACGCTGAGCGGGAAGAGCAGCGTTCTCGCGACAAATTACTCTCCAGCCATAGATTTGAGCGACGATGACTACGAGCTTGGTCTAACAATTTTGGAGATTTATCACACGACACCGAATGTAAACGCTTCGAACAATACATTTTATTTTGGCAAAGACGATGCAGAAATTACGATTCCCGAGGGGTCGTATGAACTGCATGCCATAAATGAATTTTTGAAACGTGAGATTTTACGGAAACGTCCGCAACGCGACGCGCCCGAGGGTAACGCTGGCGACACCGCGCGCGGCGATGACGAGATTGGAGAATACCCGATAGTGCTCCGCGCAAATTACAACACGATGAGGTGTGAGATTAAATGCGCCTACAGAATAAACTTTAACAAGCCTCATAACATTGGATCGCTGCTGGGTTTCTCGAGGCGTATACTGCAACCGCGAAGGTGGCACGAATCGGACGTGTCGATCAACATAATGAACGTAAACATTATCCGTGTCGAGTGCAACGTGACCGCGGGCACATACAGCAACGACAAAAGTGTGCACACGATACACGAATTTTCACCGAACGTGCCGCCAGGATATAAGATATCGGAAAGGCCGATGCAAATCATTTACCTGCCAGTCATCGTACGGAGCATTACGGAGCTAACGATACGCATTGTTGACCAGAACGGACGATTGCTCGATTTCAGAGGAGAAGAGATCACCTTCAGATTGCACGTATGACGGCGACAGCGATAACGCGAGCGTGACATTTTGAGATGCTCGTGTTGAACGAAATGAAGCATACGCAGAGAGATAACGCATCTTGTTTTACAAAGAAAACATCGATCGACAATATTCGCTCATCCGGCTGCGTCAAGAAGAGGAAGAAACTTAACGCGTCGAATGTTAAATTTTTACAAGCTTTAGGATTCGCGGTGCGCTACTTGTGAAATGACTGATATCCTAAACATCGAAGACGAGCCAATCTTCGACGATCGCATCGTCAAGATTGAGACTCATGCGTACAACCCGTTTGCCAATACGACGTTCGGGTACAGCGATGAGATAAGAATACCTATACAGCAACAGGATCTGTACACATTGCCGTACGAAAGCTTTCTATATATCGAGGGAAAACTAACGAAGAACAGAGTTGTCGAGGGATCTGATGTGATGCTGGGAAATAATTTTGTCGCGTTCCTGTTCGATGAGATTCGATACGAGTTTGATGGTGTGGAGATTGATCGTAACAGAAACGTGGGCGTAACCAGCACGCTCAAACATTACGTAATGACATCATCCGACAGAAGCGTGATTCTGAGGAATGCCGATTGGGATGCGCATACTAGCGGATGGATATTTTAACTTTTGCGTACCTCTCTACGCACTGTTGGGATTTTGCGAGGATTACAGACGCGTGATAATCAATGCTCGTCACGAATTGATCTTGATACGATCTCGTAACGACAACAATTGCCTGATGGGAAATTCGGCGTTGGATCCCGTGATCGACTTATTCAAGATACAATGGCGAATGCCGCACGTGTTATTGAGCGAGATAAAAAAACTATTGATTCTGCGCACTTTGGAGAGCGGACGATACTTGAGCATGGCTTTTCGCTCGTGGGATCTGTACGAGTTTCCGCTGTTACAGCGTACAACCAAGCATTCGTGGGCCATCAAGACCGCTACTCAGCTCGAGAAACCGCGATACGTCATCTTTGCTCTGCAAACAGGTCGCAAAAATGTCATGGCTGATGACACGAGCCGATTCGATGACTGCAACTTAACCAACGTGAAACTCTATCTGAACTCGGAATGTTATCCGTACGACGATATGCATCTTGATTTCGACAAAAACAGATGGTCCGTGTTGTATGAAACGTACGCGCGTTTCTGCAAGGGTTACTACGGATACGAGTATCTCGAGCCGAGTCTCACCGTCAC